TTTTCAAGATGGATTAATCCAAATCATTTTGGTAAGTCATCATACAGCAGCCTCTTGTTTACTTCATTACATTTGAAGTTTTCACTCTTCATTGTGTAACTTCTTCTGAGAATTTTGGATCAAACACAGTAAAGAAAATTCTTAGCACTCAGCATTTACTTTATTCAGAAAACAACACAGTACCCATGCAAACCTAATTCAGTTAGAGGTCAAACAATTGTTATGTAGGAAGAAATTACACATATAAATGAACATAAATAATAACCTGGTATCTAAGCTTTGTTGCTTTGTACTCACTGTAGTTGTTAGATATTAACTTCTAATAAAATAAAACATTCCTACCTTTGTGAAAAATGACCCTGAAAAGAAAACCATCTGCTAGTAAAACTCATGGCAAAACATGGTTATGATTAGTAAAGTAATAATTTCAGTTGGTATAGTCCTCTTCCACTTTTTTAGTAGTTATATACATAATCTTATTTTTTTTAATGTTTATTTATTTTTGAGAGAGGGAGAGAGAGAGAGAGTGAGCTGGGGAAAGGCAGAGAGAGATCTGAAGCAGGCTCCAGGCTCTGAGCTGTCAGCACAGAGCCTGACATGGGGCTCAAACTCGTGAACCGTGAGATCATGACCTGAGCTGAAGTCGGGCACTCTACCAACTAAGCCACCCAAGGTGTCCCGTACACAATCTTATTTCTAATTTAGAGTTATATTTATGGGTATACTTATTGCATTTGGTGAGGGGAATTATAATACTGTGGTATCCCAGTACCTACCCAAAACAAACAGCAAGAAAAACTGTGCTTCCACGGTAGATAAACTGTATTTTTGTACAAGGGTACAATATTTTCACTGAGTTTGCAAAGCTTTCCTTACAATACCATGGATTCGATGGCAGATTTTCCCCCTTCTTTTTGTTCACACCAGGATATTCAGATGATTGCCTTCAGGAAACAAGTCATAACTCCACAGTGATTCCCAAATATCTTTCCTGATTCATAATGTAGATGCCATTAATCATGATATAAATATCGGGGGTTTTTTTTTTTAGGAGCATTACTTTACACTTACCAGAGCAAAACACAAACACTCTTCTGGTCATTTATACAACTTCAAAACATCTTCCTACCATATATGTCTCCATCGTTCATTACCCAGAAGCCCTTAATGTTGTCTTTATGTTTAGAAAAATACAGCTTAAATTATCTTTAGATTTCTAATGAAATGTTAAATAACAAACTAGGAAACCAAAACTACCTTTTCTGCCAACATTAAAAGGAAACCTGTATTTTTTATTTAAGCCAAACATAAAACTATAACTTATGAAAACTCGTAACTTATTTTTTGGTCCCGTATCAAAACATATTAACTTACTGCTTAATAGACTACATACTGTAATACTTCAATCTTTACCATACCTCCTTCTTCAAGGAACAAAAGGCACGCAATTTAATGCTTGGACAAAGCCACAATCAGGAACAGTGGTCAAAAGAAGAGACGATACCTGGAAATGAAGACCAAGAGTTTAAAACTGACTGCATAAACTGTTAGTAAAATGTTTTTTATACTCGTGATTCAATTATGCTTCATATTCAACTTATGTGTTTAAATTTGAAAGGAACAAAAAAACCTCTCTGCCCTTAGGCAAATAACCCATCATTGCTACTCCATGATAACATCATAAATTTATAAAAATCAGAAAACTCGAAGCTTAGAAGGGAGCTCAGACTCCATCCAATTCATTTATTACAAGATCAGGAAAATGAATCTTGCCCAATATCACAATCTTAGAACAATCTAGATCTGATTCCACCCCAGATATCCTACTACCAAAATACTACCTCTTAATACTCATTGTGCTAGTATCCCATGTATATTGCTGACCATGTAAAGTCAATACCCCATGTAGAACTGAAACATTCATAGCCTCTACACACCTGGGATCAGATAATTAATAAAAACTTCAACTTTATTACAATTCTTTTCTTCTGCTTATATAGTGCTTTATCACAAAACTTTTAGTAGAGTACCCAAAGGTACTGAGCAAAAAAACCCTCAAATCTTTTATCATCAAAAAAAAAGTTGTATTAAGTGATCTAAAGCAAACATTGCTTCAGTAAGAACAATTCCAAACAGAAAAGTAAAGAATAAAAGTACATTAAATGACATGTTTAAAGTATGTTTTAAAGTCAAATTGTGTATTTATGCTAAAATATATCCTCTGGAATGCTTCAAGATATAAAAACTTGGGACCGCAACATACTATTACCAGAGAATAGGATAGGATTTTAAGTGTGATGATAAAAAAATCTCAACCATTTAAAAGCTCATACATTATCAATGCACATAGTAGGTATTCATCATGGTTGTTGATCCTTTTACCCTTCCATAAAACCATATCTAAAACGTTTTGAATTGGTATTTATACTTACTTTCACTGCAAAAAATAAAGAAAAATTTGGATGTGCAATATAGGTTAGATACTTTTATTTTATCCCTCCCTTCCCTTTTGTTAACAATTTTCTAAACCTGGGGATCATCTTATTTATGAGAATTTTAACAAAAATAACGGGGTCTACTACGCTTACCATACTCATGAAATGCTAACGCCTGAAAAATGTTAATACAATGCAATGCTTTCTTCATGAATATCAGAAACATATAGTTTTGCTGAAAGATAATCCATTTCTACGGATTTGCAGTTAAAAGAGGTCAGGGTATTCCATTGCATCGATTTAAGTGGTTTCTATCTGTTCAACCTGAGGATACTAATTTTAGAGTACACTCAAATCCGATCCCTTGCTGCATAAAAAAGAAAAAAAAAAAACAAAAAACAGTAAACTAGGCCTAACACACAGACGCTCTAGTTAATGAAATTCCTACCCTGATGTACAGTTTGGCGTCTTGTTTCACCATTGCTACAGCCACACAAAGTTCAAGCATTCTTACGAATTCCTTAAATATTGACTTATTTTATTTTTCTGGTGTTTTTTTAGACTTTTGATATCCAAACATACTAAACGAATGTTTTCACTAAAATAGATCACAAACACTAAACGCTCCAAATTTAAACCTAAAAAGAAAACTGAGCCTAAACTTTTGTATTCTGAACCTTAAAGCTACCACATCTGTTTTGTTGCTCTTCCTAAGTTACAACATTTTACCTCATATACATTCACCCTACATATATTCCATTACCATATCCATCTAGGAAGAGACTGTCTACTTGACAATGAGGACACCATGTTAAGAATAGACTCAAAATGGACCCTACAAGTGAGAAAGCCAGTTACAAAGAAATCCATCTGCCACTGGGTGTGGTTGGGGTCTGCAAGGAAGGGCGCCTGTGGCCAACTCTGGAGGAGAGAGCGCGCGCCAGAGAGCTGTGCGTATCTGCAAGAAAAGACCTCCAATGACCACAAACTGGACCCACAATGGGGACGCCGTCGAGTCGGGCTGCCGTGGGCCTGCGAATCTACAGCTCGAGGGGTGCGGCCGCAGGACTGCCCATGCTGTCTCCACCAGCCCCGGAACGCGCCGAGTGGGTGCTTCGAGCGCCGCGCGCCCCGCTCCGTCCCAAACACCGCGCCCGATCCGCCCCTTCCTCCGGGGTTCGGCTCCCCTCGGGCGCGCGGAGGCACACTGTCGCCGCGCTCCCGCTCCAGCTCCTAAGCTGTGGGAGAGTGTGGAGTTCAAAGAGCCCGAACGTAGTGCAAACCCAGCTAAGAAACAGAAGGCTAGCTCTAGCAGCCTGCAGGAGCGCCGGGTAAAAGAGCCCACTTCTCTAGAAAAACTTTGCGGCAAGTTAGGCGGAAGCGCTGAATAGCCGGGACTATTTAGCAGGCGCTTCCTATCACGAGAGGCGGATCCCTGAGCCGGTTCAGGGGACCCTGACACCCCCACAAACTCGCACTTTGCCCCCTGGCTGGCCATCTAGAAGTCCCGGCATCCTAACAAGTCTGAGCGGCCCCGTTCATAGGGAATACCTGTCGTGGTCCCCATTGCCTGCGAGTCCCCGATGGCGGCCATTACGCTTCCATCCGGGTATTGCCGAAAAGCCGATCGCGGCGCTACCGGTAGCGCACGCTGCGGCGGAGGGATCCTCCGGGCAGTACCTGAAGCGAGCGGAAGAGGACGGAGGCCGGCAGGGTTCGCGCCTTAGCCTGGCGAGACTAGGCCATTGAGCTGGACTTGCCGCTGACCTCTCAAATTAGCGCGCTTCCCCGATGCCTGCCACGCCAGTGACTCACCCTCCCCCTGTGTTCTCCAGCAGCTGCAGAGATCCTACTGCCCATGTTGGGGTAGACAAACCTCTACTCTATGCTCTTCAGAGTAGACACCAGAAGCAGGAACTGTGGTCTTGGCAAGCCCTTACTAACTGGGAATGGTCTCAACCCTGAGATTTTAATCATTTCCGGCTTTGCAAATGGCGTCTCCTCCTCGTTGCTTTTGACTCCCAGGTTTTAGCAGCCATTGCAGCCCACGTCAATGAAGGAAGCTGCCCAAGACCCTCAGGAAGACATACTGAACTCCAAACGTGCACATATATAATAATTGATCTGAAAACTGTCGTTACAACAAGGGAGATTTCATTCCCATCAAAGGAATCCTTCCACAACATCACACAACTGAGCTGGACAAAGAGGCCAATTAATATTATGATTGGGTTTTTCCCAAAGGCCGGAATGGCTCCCCTTGTCTCTTGTAGAGCATTTCTGAAAGCCGACCTATTAATTTCACTTTTTACATATTATAAACTTACATATATATACCTTCATATATATATATACACATATATATATATACATATATATACACACATATATATATAGCAAAAACTGTAAAAAAATCTGATTGGGGCAGAGGTGTACATCAACATATTAATATTAAAAGTGAAACTGCAATCGAGTTGTATTCGTTGAAAAAAAATTTAGTGTTTATCATAAACATTTTTTATTGTCTTAGAGTATGCTTTGAAAATGTCAACCTGTAGCCAGACACAAGATTTTCTGCATCCTTTAATAAAAAGCACACTGAGGAATCCTTGTCCTTAAGGAAATTTCTTATCACTGGATCTATTGGTCTGCACGATGCCTCCTGGAAAACGCAAATGAGCAGTAATCCACCTTAGATGTACTTATATATCTTGTACTCATATGCCTGTATAAAATACACAAGGAGAAATCTTCTGTAAATACCAAAAGGGAGGCCCTTATCAGATAGAGAACATGTTTACAAAATGGATTTTATTTTGCATTAAACATCATCCCCCTCTCTCTGGTCTTCATTTGCATGCAAGTCACACACGCATACATATCACAGAGTAAAGAAAGGATCAGGAGTTTTTATTTTTAATAGCAAAAAAGATGATAGCTGGGAAGATGACAGAGTTGTTTGTTTTGTGTTTTGATGTAATTGTTGTTTTTTTTGTTTTTCAAATTAAGAAATTGCACCCCTCTCCTCCACAGTATTTGCATTATTAACTTCATTTTTGCTTATACATATATGTTCATCTGAAAACATTGCACACCTGTGTATATGATATGGAAGAACTGGAATATGTGTGAGTTGTGTTTTTTTTTTTTAAAGTAAATAAGGTATCATTCAACCACAAACTTCTCTCTTCCCTTTTTCGTCATCCATATCATACAACCTCCACCCACTTTCTTGCCCACTTTTTGGATTTTGAACATTGGGTTAGCACAGAAAAAAAAGTAAAACAGAAAGGAAGGAAAGAAGATGATAAAAGAGAGAGAAAGAAAGAATACAAAGCAGAGAAAATGGAATCATAGTTTAAGAAAATATTTTGTAGTTGAGAGGATAGTTATTGGGGATAGAGTTAATTTAATGCTGTAAATTGTTGATTCCTCTGAACACCTAAATCTGCTATTGACTAGCTGAGGGCACTTAATCTCTGAGTTGCACAGAATTATGCAATACATAACAGTTGGTAGATTGAAGACAGAAATCAGCTCCATGGTGCCCACAGTACCCATGGTAGAAGTGATGATGGAGGTGATAGTCACAAAGTTTCCATCTTGATTACAAACCTCTTTCTCCTTTTAAATATATAAATAATGGTGATTGTGTCAGGAAGCAGATCACTTCAAGACAGTGAAATTTTCTCCTAAAAAATAGTATACAAGTGGGAATTACATTTCACTTTAGGGATTCACACCTCTGAATCATAGGTAATGCCATATTGTAATAAAATTACAATAAGCCTATACATACATATATTTACATAAATATATACAGTATATTTACAAAAACAGCGTGCTTTTAGTTGTAGATAGCTTGGTATGTCATAAGTATTGTATAATATTATATAAAGGATAGCTGTTACAATTGTAACTAAAGAATTAAATAATATTTAAAGAGCAAGAGTCTCTGAAAAAAGCTCTCTCCTTTTTGCTGATCTCTCAAGTCCAGACTCCCTACTTCCAATAATATAATCAAGTACAACCAAAATTGAAAAAATAAAGATGACAAGAACCTGGTAATCTAGCTTAAAATGGTCCCACTCTCTGGTCAAGAATACCATAGGTTGATTACTATCTTCAAGCCATCAAACAAGTGTTAGTTGAGTTGAGCCAAAGTCCTCTGCATGGTTGTTCTTTAATATTCATTCAGCAGATATGTTCTTGAACCCCTTACCATGCGCTAGAAACTGTGCTTCTAATAAATAAGATGTGATCTCTCAAGGAGTAACTCGTTCAGTAGCAGATTCTTAATATCTAAAAGATTTAATGATTCAACAGAGCAATTCCAAAACTGGGATTTCAAATATAACAGGTGATGATCTTTTTAGGATAGGTATCCCTGCCAGTTTCCTCTCAACTCATACTTCCTAGATGATTAAGACTTTAGATATGCTGCTATTTTTATTAAATTGTTACTAAAGATATAGTCACTCTTTCTTAGTTCTTTCAGTGGATACTATCTTCATCAATGAAGAACATTAAACTATATAAACTATACCGAAATATTTTAGGGTATTTCTCCCTATTCCCAATCACATCAAATTCTTTCTAAGAATCCCTGTATCCTGCGGGCAAGAGAGCAGGTGGCACAGATAATTCAAGTCTTTAGAGGAATAAAAAGAGGAAATGTAATGCTTGTTAATTATATTTCTTTCAAGAAAACAAATCTGGTACACATATATGTTATATATGCTATTTTGTATATACTTTCATAAGTATAGTACATTTCATTATTTGATGTTTTAAAAGAATAAAGAAGTATAAGGCTTTTTTTGGAGTGTGTGTGTGTGCATGTAGAGATTAAATACTATGTAAGTTGATTTGATTGCTTTGGAAAGTTTTTTTAAGGGTAACTCTAATTTCTGTGAGACCTGTGACACCGGACCATGTTAACATCAATAAATTACACTTAAGAACTTGTAAGAGTAAATCATCTGACTCATTACTCTAAAATTTCCAAGTTGCATCCACCTGCAAACTTTTCTAACTTCTCCCTTCAAACAAAAACAGAACCCCAGATTTTCTTGTTTTAAATAAACATATTCCTTAATACTACTATATATAGTGCCTCAGTGGTCCTGAAGTTGTATTAACGTTGATGTTTATGTTTTGTTAATATTGTTTGTTGGGGGAGTGGAAGTTAAGGGGATATATAAATCTTTGCAGTATATCCTAGAATGCCTGATGAAGTAAATGAGAAACAATTATAAGATGGAAAAAAAAGGGGCGCCTGGGTGGCTCAGTCAGCTGGGCGTCCAACTTCAGTTCAGGTCATGATCTCACGGTCTGTGGGTTTGAGCCCCACGTTGGGCTCTGTGCTGACAGCTCAGAGCCTGGAGCCTGCTTCAGATTCTGTGTCTCCCTCTCTCTCTGCCCCTCCCCTGCTCATGCTCTGTCTCTCTCTGTCTCAAAAATAAATAAAAACATTAAAAAAAATTTTTTTAAAGATGGAAAAAAAAAAAACAGTAACTCATTTAAATTAGCTTTACGTGCCTTGTTTCTATTGATATCAGGACTCTCCAAGGCAGTGAGGTAATCCTGGAGAGCCAGGATAGAGTAGGAGTAAAGAGTATAATGCAGCAATAGGAAAAGCATAACTTGTTTAAGAGGAAAGTATTAAATGCAAGGAAGAAGGAAAAGCTTTATTTGAAAACGTTATAGATATATATGGAAAGGTATCAATTGGAAGCTGAAAACACAGAAGACAGCATGGAGATGAATATACAAAACCAGAGCCAGGATTGATATAAGAATAGATTCAGAATGCTTCAGACAGATGGAGGAAATAGATGACACTATCATAATATAAATTACAAAAGTGGCCCAGAGTTCAATAAATATTTCAGAACGTCTTCCTAGTGCCAGAGGATACAAATACCTGCCTCTGTCCTCAGGCATAAGGTTGAATAGAGGGATCATATAACTCAGTTTTCCCCCCAAAAAGCCCTCATTTATACCTGTTTTCCCTAGCTCTTACATTTTCAGTCAAAAATATCTCAATTTAGTGATAACTGAATCATCACTGTAGCGATAAAGGAAAACGGATAGAAATCTTATCTGTTAAGAGCAAATCATCTCAGAAATGTTTGACTTGCCTTGCTGTTGTTCAGAGAAACTAAATAATTCTTTAATAGTAGGAAAGAAAGGCAATAACAAGAATTATTGTGGTGAACTGAAGGCTAATCAACAAAAAGGAAAAAGTTGCTCATGATGTAATGGGCTGAGTGGGTGGGCAACAGTGTTCAGCAGTGGTTTTGGGCATGTGGTCTCTCAGCTCTGGGGTTCTTTCTTTCCTCTCATATTAATTCACACACCAAGGGATACACACTAATGGGCACACGTTAACTAGGGTTCAGTTTTTTCATCCGACCCAAACACACATCACCTGAAAGAGGAACTCAAGCTCCCAAGACTCATAAGAAAAATTAACCAAAAGAAAGGTATCAAACCAAATAACATATACCATCTGAAAAGAATTAAAACAGATTAGACTTTAAAATAAACATGCTATAAGAGACTCTTAAAAACTGAGAACTGAAGGTCCATGGGGGGTGGGAGGGAGGGGAGGGTGGGTGATGGGTATTGAGGAGGGCACCTTTTGGGATGAGCACTGGGTAGTGTATGGAAACCAATTTGACAATAAATTTCATATATTGAAAAAAAGAAAAGAAAAGAAAACTAAGGAAGAAGCCTACCATAAAAAAATAAATAAAATAAAATAAAATAAAATAAACATGCTAACTATATTTAAAGATACTGGGGAAGATAGTATACAAAGCAAGAACAAGAAATCATTGAAAAATGTAGAAATATTAAAAGACAGAAGCAAAAAAGTTCTGTCTTCTCTTATCAGGGAGAAAAATCTCTTCCAAAAACCTTCTTATGTTTCCCTGGCCAAGACTGAGTCCTATATTCCCCTTTAGAACAAAGGGAATGGCAAAGCAAAACAGGGTTGTTGTGACTGATTTAAACCAATCATGATTTATACTCTGGGATTAAGTGAATTGCCACCTGAGAAATAACAGCAGAATTCTATTTATATACTTATAATTGCTTACAGCATTATAGTTCTACATTTTCCAGAGTAAAGTATTTTTAAAGTTGGCATAAAGTGAAGAGAGAAGCTGAAGGAGACCCCATAACAAGCTATTTTTTATTTCATAGATTTCCTAACAGGTGAGGAAACCTGGACCACAACAGAAAAGGAAGACATTATCCTGACAGTTTGGCATTTACCAAGTAAGTCAACTGAAAGTAAGAAATGTGTCCATGGAGAATAGGTCTTCACTTCAACTAATCCTATCACCAAGATGGACAATGTTTCTCAAACTCAAGAAACCAGGGATATGCAAATTGGCTCTCAGAACAAAGGCAAAGATCCAAAAGATTTAAATGAAAAAGAGGCCAATATGAAATTATACCACTGCCTTTTTCCCCCTCTGGTGAAATGATAGAATTCAAGAAAAACACTCATAGAGATGAACATTTAGGGTTTTGCCAATAAAACTCTAAGACTCCAAAATAAAGTCCAATGGTTAATAACCAATCCAGTAAATGTTGAATTAATCACCTCACTTTTACTTATTTTTTAAGTAGGCTCCACACCTGGTGTGGAGCCCTACACAGGGCTTGAACTCAAGACCCTGAGATCAAGAGCTGAGCTGAGATTAAGAGTCAAATGCTTAGCTGACTGAGCCACCCAGGTGTCCCTAATTGCCTCACTTTTAAGTATAAACTTTAAGGAGCCAAGGATAAGCAGAAATTCAAGAAAAGGTTCTAAAAATATATAGATTGTTTTTTGTAAAAAAAAAAAAAAAAAAAAAAAACAAACAGGAAAGTAACTCTGAAGAAAGAGCATTGATGCAGCAAGGAGAAGAAAGCAAAATAAAACAAAAGCAACTATAATATCCTCAGATAAATAAGAAAAGCTATTGCATCTATGAAAGAATAGAAATACTGTGAAAAGGGGATATCCTGAGGCTAAGAAAGAGCTCTTGAAAATTTAAAGTATGCTGTAAAATAGTATAGTTTTGAAAATAAAATTGTAAAAAGTCTCTCCAAAATAGAAAAAAAAGTCAGAATTAAAAAATAGAAAACATAAAAAATTAAAATTCAACATTCAATTAATAGCAGCTCTAGAAAATGAAAAAAAGAGAAACAAGAAAGAATTATTAAATAAATAATACAAGAAACTTGTCCCAGAACTGAAGGATATGAACTTACATCCTGAATTTACTCAACTGAATGCCCACCACAATGACCACACCAAGATATATCATTGTAAAATTCAGGATATAAAAAACCTAAAATCTTTCAGAAAGGAAAAGTGAATCACATGCAAAAGATTGTGAATAAAAATAGAGTCAGATTTCTCAACGAGAACACAAATAGCTAGACCACAATGGAGTAACACCTCCAAAGTCTAAATACTTAATTTAGATTATATTTAGGGTTCTATAATCAGTCAAACTATCAATTAAACACGAGAGTGGATTCAAAACATTTTCAGAAAGGGAAATTGTCCCAAATTTACCTCTCTTGTACTCTTTACCAAAAAAGTAATGCTTCTCTAACATACTGCTTCCTCACAAGAAAGAGGAAGATACAGAAAGTAGGAAATAGGAAATGTAAGTCAGGAGAGAGA